AAAATAGCCAATATGTACATTCTCATGTTACTAAATACAGTGTAGAATTTCTATTTGTCAATTTTTATGTTCACAGAAGAATGGACGATGAAAAACAAGTTTCGACGAAAATCAAAGCATCCGATTTTACCATGTCAGTCACTAAAATCTACGATATCCTATACGAAAGGGGTATATGCACAAGTTTCTTGAAAACTGTTGAGCATATTAACTAGCTTTTAAATATACTACTGTTATCACGTGTTGGGTTAACGTAAACAAAGTAGTAGCTATTTTATCCCATTATTATCAAAATAGAAACGTATCTTTGCTTTTCAAAATAATCAAAAGGTTCCTCTTATCTCTGTAAATGTATTAATCACATAGATCTTGCTTCGTCAATACCAGGGCTGTCGCGATCCGGAGATGTCCGGAGTGTGACCTCACCAATAATTGGAACTATCTTGACCTTAATTAATAAAAAATTCGTTTACAAATACATTTAGTCAATATTTAGCATCCGAAGAAAGAACTAATTAGCAAGAAGATGTGCTGCTTGCGATTTATTCAATAGTCTCTTTTTCTTCTCCTTGCATTAATTTTTACAGTTGCATAGTGACGATTGATCTTATTCGATTATCATGATGAATGTTCTGTTTCGACTATGGCGTTCACTTTCTCATTTAAAACAAACGGCTTATTACAACTTACTTATCAAGAGATATAAATCCATCTCAAGTCCCGAAAAGTACTATCTTATCAAAGATAAGAAACGCGTCAGCAAAATCATAACTCAGCATTATCTCGTATAATTATTGTTGAATGTTACATGAGAATTAAATATTACATTCGACTATTTTTATCGGTTGGTGAAAAGTAAAAACTGAGATGGAGCAGATTGATTTGTCTTTTAGCTAGAAGATAGATTGACCTGTTATCATATTAAATTGATTTCTTCAAAATCCTTATTATTGAAGAGTTTTGAAATTATATCTAAAATAGATTGTAAACATGCCTGGTGGTGATTCTTTAAACAAGAATCAAAGCGCGTCCTGTGATGCTTATAATCTATAAACTCTTTATTCATTTACTTATTGCAATGAAAATTTGATTTCTACGAATTTATTCGTAACTTCTTTATCTTATTATTACAGTTTCCAATTCATATTTAGTGATGGTTATGAACATACTTGAGGATATGGGTGAGCGGGGGGTGGGGTGGGTGTGGGTGTGAGAGAATAGAAGATTAAAACGTACACCCACACCCATTCAGACGCACACGTACATGCACGCGCACACCTACCCACACCCTCAAGGGAGGGGGTAGGTGTGGGTGTGGGTGAATAAATGATACTATCTTCACGAAACACTCACACCCACACTCACATCCACATCCACACCCTCTACTGTGTGTTTTAGAGCCATAGAAATGCAAAAGTTTTCTTTATATTGTACTTTACTTGCTTCGAAATTCGCTTAATCCTGATAGACTATCTCGTTTTTGCACTATTTGTAGTTGGTATTCATGTAAACTGCTGACGTAGGTTAGCTCAGATGCTACAGTTAATCGATTGATATTCAAACAATTTCGACATGATAACATTGCTCGTTTCTAATAGTAATTCATCTTTACGTTCATCTCATTATCTTTCTCTCTCTGTCTTTTACTTTTGGTAGGTGAATGTAAGAGTATCTCCGGCATAAAAAGAAATCAACACCCTAAATCCATACCTCATCCCACCAATTCCACCCATGTGACAGAAGATACGTACGATTTCCTTGTCGTCTTTCTGTTTGAAGTACACAATGCCAACTCATCCAGACATTTTCAAGTCAATACCCATGCTCAAACAACTTCTCAATCTTTACTAGTTTGAAAACAAGGCTAATACAATTGAAAGAATGTTAAATAATTTCGAAAGAAAAAAAGTACGATAGATATTGTGAGTGTTGAACCAGGTAGTATCTTTTATTAATTTATGAACTCATGATAATCGAAAATAGTAGTCATTGATAGACGTTCTTTACGAAGTGTTCATGTATGAGACCAACCCAAATCGATATTAATGTTAGAGATGTCTAATTTCTCCTAACGAAACCAATCTGCTTTGTATTCAATATGTGAAATAAATAATTTGATGATGGATTTGAGAAGTTGCAGCACATGTTGAGACAGATGAAAACTCTTGACGATGAATTGCGGTTTGGTGAAGTTGTCGTCTCCGCTGTTTTCAATTGAGACATTTTGTCTTGTTTTGTCGTTTTCACCATGATGTCAATGATTCTTTTGTTAAATATGTCTTCTTTTATCACCACCAGTGAAATATGAAAATCCATGAAATTTCATTGACAATTAATCTTTGACAATCGTCACACACATGTCTACTTTTGAATGCGACGAATTATGAATATTTTGGCTTGGATCTCATTTAAGTTTATTTAATACCAATCGAATTACTCGGCACTACTGTTCAATTTTGGTCAATAAAATTTTTAAGGGTTTATCTATCTTTACACCGTAATTGTTGATGATTTTTTCTGTCGATGACGAAAATTTAATAATTGGTTCATTTGAAAGTTATTGTGATCAGTTCGTAATGGAGATGACGTTGACGTTTTCTTGGTTATTGGTGATGAATTCAACAGTCTAGTTTTTTTAAAAACTTTGTAAAAAAAAGTGAACAATAAAACAGAAATCACAAGCAAAAAGCATAGAACAAAATAAAAAACAACAAGATACAGTTTACATAATTTCTCGTGGCAACAAACCGGCTAATGAATATTCTAATCCAAATCTTCTATTAGGAATCTTTCCCACCCTATTTCCATATGGATGTGGTGAGCTTGAGGATGATTCTCGGCCGATTCGAATCAATTTTCGGGAGCACCTAAGATATCTTCTTTCGTATGCAGATCACCGCTTTGAACAACACTACTCATTTATATTTGTTGCCTTCAATATTTTACAACGCCGAACAGCATGTTTCCATGCCCAGTTAATGACTCCAAGATCGTGGTTTCAACAATCTGCACAAGTTCTTAACTCATTGAGCTCTGAAGATGTAGCAGCACCCCTTATTAATATCTCTAAAACGTCTTATTCAAAAGTTACTGACGAGAGAAGAAATACGTTGATGAAGCATATCAAAATTATTCGTGGTCATGTCATGGGCTCAGGTCACTCACGATCAGCTCTTCGGACAAAAATTCATTCTTTGTGTTTTTATCTTGGTTTTCCTAGTCTTTTCCTCGCAATCAATCCGGCCAACATCCATAGTCCAGCGGCATTTTACTTCGGAGGTGTCGACCTGGACCTTGATAATGTCCTGCCAAAAGTTCTGCGTACAAGTTATGAGTGTGCTCAAATTGTCGCTACGCACCCTGTTGCAACTGCAAAGTTTTTCGACTGTTTAATAAAGAACATTCTAAAAAACCTAGTGGTCGGCGGTGTGCTCGGTCCTACAAAAGCGTATTTCGGCACTGTAGAGAATCAAGGAAGAGGATCGCTTCAATTACATCTCTTGATTTGGCTCAATCATGAATATAGTCCAGCACAGTTGAAAGAAAATATTCAAAATCAAGATTTTCGTGAAAATTTACTAAAATATTTAGAAGATGTCATAAAAAGAAGATTCAGATTCATTTCCAGGTAATATATTTGACATTGTTTGAATCCGTGACTTGAAGTTTTTATATTCGTCTGCTTGATACTGTTTTACACCCTGATAGTGTATCACTGCCTTGCTTTGAACTTGAGCTTGCAGAACATTTTCAAAATTTTCATTAATCCAAAACATATTTCATTCGAATCACCTGCTCTTACTACATGTTTATGAGACTTCTAAGTTCTGTACTTTTAAATATTAGTATTCTTTCTTAAGATGAAACCCACGACGAAACAAGTACAAGCAATGACAGAAGAACATTAAATGGTGAGCTTTGAAGGTTTTAAGAATTTTTAATGATAAGTTTCGCTTCATTTTAGGAGAAACTGAGCCAGTAGCAAGTGAATTTATACCAGCATGTCTCTCAACACCAAATCCTGCGTTGGAAGACTTTGATCAAACGTTTCGCAAAGATATGGTTCAATTGGTCGAAACCTGAAATGTTCACAAGCATTCTGCGACTTGCTATAAATATTCTAAAGGCAAAAATGATGGTCCAAAAAGTTGTCGAATGCGCATGCCACGCGCATTAGTCAAGTTTTCTAATATTGATCCTACGACGGGTCAAATAACCATGCGCCGATCGCACCCGTGGATCAATAACTTCAATGAATGGCTCTTAAGTGCGTGTCGATCGAACATGGACATTAAGTTCATCTGGAGTGGTAACGATGCCAAAGCATTAGTTTACTATATCACTGATTATGTAACAAAATCTACTCTGGCTTTCCACGATATATTTGCGCTGGCACAGCAAGGTATCAAATCTATCGAGCATGAACGAATTTCTAATAGCACAGATAATATTGTTGACAAATCGCGTAAACTAGTGCTACGCTGCTTCAATATGATTGCTTCACAACCAGAAGTTTCTGGTGTACAAGTTGCATCATATCTAATGAACTATGGTGACCACTACACTACACATACGTCCAAAAATCTTTTTCTCATTTCAATCGAAAACTACCTACAAACAGAACTAAATAAAGCACGAATTAACGAAAAAGAAATTGTTGAAGAGAGAATAGATGGTAGAACTTTTTAAAATAATTGTATAGAGTTTTAATATGTAGTTTTCTAGAGACTTCAACGCCTTTCTACGATGAACAAGGAGAAGATAAAAACGAAATCGAAGAACAATTTTTATAAGAACCAACAAAATCCAACAACGGCGATCAGTATGTCTTGGCCAATACTCGTCTTGACTATCAGCACCGATCTAAAGATCTGAGTGCATTATGCTTATATGACTTTGTGAGCCATTTTCACAAGAAGGTTATCGACAAATCGGAGCGTCATTTACTAAAGAACGTAACCAGTTCTCAAGGTCAACAATTATCTACGGAAGGAACGAAAATGAATGAACGTCATACATTTGACAGCGCACATCCACAATCAACATCTCATCTCATAATTAAACGTTCCATTCCAGTAGCACCAGTTCTGATAGGGCCTCAAATACCTCGCCGCGAACGAGAAGAAACGCATGAACGTTATTGTCGCGCGTTGTTAACATTATTCGTGCCATGGCGATCAGTCCAGAACCTTTGTGCAACGAATGAGACATGGTCTGAAGCATTGGAAGCTCGAAGGCTGTTGATCTCTCCCAACTCGCTTAAGATTATAGAAAATATAGAACTTTTGCACGAATGCAAACACGATCGAGATGAACATCTTCATCAAGTTCTTTTAGAAGCCCAAAACGACAACAGCATTGACCCTATTTTGATGCCTAATTACTATGAAGGCGACGAAAATGCAGAAGAAGACGATCCTGAACAACTTTTGCAAATGCTCTCCATCGTAAATGAGATCACGACAAACACTTACTCTGCATTGACAGTTACTCACGAACAACGCTATGTTCATGATGCATTACAAGCAATTGATAATACAGATAGATTTGCACTACTCAATGGTGAGTTAATTACGGCCATATTTCGAAAATATTTAGTTTGATTTAGGCCGTACACGTTATCAGGGCGAAAATAATGATGATATCATACACGACGTCCACACATTTGTCGTAGCTCGTGAGCATCATACGACCATGATTAAAGAATGGAAACGTGATATTCAAGCCCGACGAGACGAAACAAGAAACTATTTAATTTCAGGTGAAGATACTCTGGAAGCTCGAGATGATGAAACACAGATTGAAGTCGTAGGTACTGAAATTCCAACAAGCCCAATTAAAACGAAAGTTACAAGAGTCCCACCTGTAACTGCAACCAATTCCGTTTTATTTCCCACAAAACAGGATATCGTCAAACAATTTACACTAAATATACAGCAAAAAAATGCTTTTATGATTGTTACTAGTCACTTAGATGGTGAAAATAATGCTTATACAGGTATATTATCTCGATTTTGTTGTTGTAAGATTTAGGTAGTCTTGATATTTAGGTACTATCGATAATCAGTTATTGATGTGTATACCTGGCTGCGGTGGCACTGGAAAATCTCAGTTGATTCGTACAATCACCAAGTATTTCCAACTAACAAAACGGGGCAAGATGTTGCGTAAACTGGCGCCAACGTCTATAGCAGCAGCTGAGATTGATGGATTAACTATCCATTCATTTTTAGGTGAAAGTCGCAAAAACAGTAGAAAGAAACAAACCCGTACATTTAGACCTGGTGATATGAAATTGGAAAATGAATGGCGTCATGTGAAGTACTTGATAATCGATGAGATGAGCATGGTAGGACTTAGTCTCTTAGCTCGTCTAAATCGAATAGTGAAAACAGCCAAGCACATAAATTTTGAGATACCTTTTGGCGGTGTCAATGTCATTTTCTTCGGCGACTGCCTTCAATATTCTCCTGTTTTGGACAAGCCTCTCTATTATAGTTGCGTACCGACACAGCAAGTTACAGAACGTCAGATAGATATGTTGTGCGCACAGAAGCTTATGTCTGAAATAAACTGCGTTGTTGAATTAACTCAGCAAATGCGAACCGAAGACATAAGATATTTGGAGCTTTTAAATAGATTAAGAAATGGACAATCGACAATAGAAGATTACCAACTTCTGTGTACCAGAGTCATAGGAAATTCAAAACTTCAAGTATCTCTACAACAAAAGCCATGGAACGAAGTATGCACACTCATTTTCTCTGTGTATCACATTACTTTTCTTTCAATAGGCTCCAATACTGGTTTTTCGAAATACGCTACGCACTCAAATTAACAATAGGGCTGTCTTAAACAAAACAATGAAAATGGGATTTACCCCAATTGTTTGTATTGCTCAAGATTATATTCAAGGAAAACCTGTGGATGATCTACGATTACGTAAAGCCATACTTGAACTACCTGACAATAAAACCGAACATCTTCCAGGGTATCTGCCTCTCGTACCAGGAATGCCAGTTTTACTCACAGAAAACATCGCTACCGAACTGGGACTCTCCAACGGTACACGTGGAATCTTTCGTCAACTCGTATACGATGAATCACCAGAAGATGTTCGATACCAGGATAAGAATTTTCCACCAAATACCAAGTTTATAACGCAACCAAAGTACGCTTTAGTAGAATTTCCTGGTTGCAAACTTAATAACAAACTTGCTGAACTGCAGTCCAAAATAGTTCCTATAGCTATTAGTGAACAAACATTCTTGTTCGACGCCAAAGAACTTCTTCCAGAAAATGTAGCAAAAGCAGCCAAAATAAACAAGAAAACAACAAAACTCACCGTCAAACGTAAAGCACTTCCGCTTATCCCCGCGTACAGCATGACAACACATAAAAGCCAAGGCCAAACACTCGGTAAAATTATCGTCGATCTGGTGATGCCGCCTGGCCCAATTGAACTCGCATCGGTTTATGTTCCATTATCTCGTGTAAAGAGACTTGACGATTTACTAATCATACGTCCATTCGAATTTGGAACACTTCAAGTTAAACCATCAACGGCCCAAATAGAAGAAATTAAAAGATTAGATAAAATAGCACAAAGCACTCGGAAGCGTTTTCAATTCATTGTTCAAAACAACAACATCCCAAGAGTGCGTGATCTTCAGGCAAACCATCTAACTGATAAAAAAAACTCTATATCGCATGCTCGAAATTTGTGCGTTTTACAGTTCTAGCTCATAGATCATTTTGTAAAACCTGTACGAAACTATATTTCAAATAAAAGTCATAAAGACAAAAGAGAATGAAAAGAATTTGAACTATGCAAACGAACCCTATTGATCGAAAGTCACTATCGCTTGCGCATTCAACCAGCATCCCAAGCAGCATTTGACGGCTATACACTACAATACAAGCTATATATGACACACGTCATATAAGAAAACTTTCTTAAGTAATGATTTCAGAGAAGACTAGCAGTGTCAACCATATTTTGTTACCAATATCTCCGCTAAACTCGCAAGTGCACCTTCATGTGATCCCATCGTAACAAAACCACAAACTGCATTGAGGACTAAAGGCAAACGAACGACCCTCATTTCATTCGATAAACTTTCATATACAATCAGTGCGGTAGCATTAACTGCCACACATCACTAAAAATCACAGAAAATACCCAAGAATACTGCTCCAACAGGTATTCCAACCATACTCAAATCTAGACTGCCAGTTTCAAACACAAACACGATACCTATGATGCAGGATCCACTGTGAGTGTCGGTGTCGATATGCATCAGAATGTTACATTCAATTCCAAATCCAAGCACACACCCACACTCCAACCCATCCAAACGCACCGAACACCAACACCAACACCCACTCCCAGACTCACATCCCAACTCAACTCACTCCCACACACGCCACACCCATACCCTACCAAACCCATATTCCTACCATCCCCTTATCAAAAACACATTCCCACCCTCACACACAGCCTCACCCTTACCCATGCCCACACCAACACCCACATGCACACCCTTACATCCACGCCCGCACACACTTGAAAATCCATCCTTGCTCCGAATCTTAACTCACAAAACATCATTAGCGCATAGCCAAATTAAAAAAAACAGCTATGATACATTTCATTGGTCACCCTCAAAATCTCATTCCAGCTCGGACAAACCGTGAAAACCCGTGATTAGTTCAAAGGGCCACTCTCAAAATCTAATTGGTGCATAGCTAACCTGTGAAAACCTACAATTGGTCCAAATCGCCACTCTTGAAATCTCATTGGTGCATCGCCAAACTGTGAAAACCTATGATTTGTCCAAATGGTCACTCTCGAAATCTCATTAGTGCATAGCTAAACTATGAAAACCTATAATTGGCCCAAATGGCCACTCTCGAAATCTCATTGGTGCATCGCCAAACTGTGAAAACCTATGATTGGTCCAAATGGCCACTCTCGAAATCTAATTGGTGCATGACCAAACTGTGAAAACTTTTGATTGGCCCAAAGGGCCACTCTCGAAATCTCATTAGTGCATAGCCAAACTGTGAAAGCCTAGGAGTTGACCCAAAAACCACTGTCGAAATCTCATTGCTGGATAGCCAAACTCTGAAAACCTATGATTCGTCCAAATGGCCACTCTCGAAATCTACTTGGTGCATGGTCAAACTATGAAAACTTTTGACTGGTCCAAATAACCACTCTCGAAATCTAATTGGTGCATGGCCAAACTGTGAAAACTTTTGATATGGCCCAAAGGGCCACTCTCGAAATCTCATTGGTGCATGGCCAAACTGTGAAAACTTTTGATTGGCCCAAAGAACCACTCTCGAAATCTCATTGCTGGATAGCCAAACTGTGAAAAACTATGATTGGTCAAATGGCCACCCTCGAAATCTCATCGGTAGATACCCAACCTGTGAAAACCTATGATTGGTCGAAATGGCCACCCTCGAAATCTCATTGGTGCATAGCCAAACTGTGAAAACCTATGATTGGTCCAAATGGCCACCCTCGAAATCTAATTGGTGCATGACCAAACTGTGAAAACTTTTGATTGGTCCAAATGGCCACCCTAGAAATCTCATTAGTGCATAGCCAAACTGTGAAAACCTATGATTGGTCCAAATGGCCACCCTCGAAATCTCATTGGTGGATAACCAAACTGTGAAAACCTATGATTGGTCCAAATGGCCACTCTCAAAATCTCATTGGAGCATAGCCAACCAGTGAAAACCTATGATTGGTCCAAATAACCACTCTCAAAATCTCATTGGTGCATAGCCAAACTGTGAAAACCTATGATTGGTCCAAATGGCCACTCTGG